TTTGAAAATAGGCCCCGATATCCTCCGCAACATTGCCGTCATAGTCTAGAATCTGTTGCAGATTTCGTGCGAGAGCAGGATCGTATTGGGCTAAATCCCCAATGTCTGGTCGCCAGGTTGGCCGCCAACCCTGATGAATTTCTGCGCCCATGCCTTGTGGTGCTGCAGCAGCAAGTTTGCGGAAAAGGAATGGTGGAAATGGAACATCCAAGATTGTAAAGTTGTATATGGCGAGGCCAAGAACAGCTCCAACTAGCTGATACTGTTCAGACGATTCTAAAGAGCTAGGATTGAAGTAGCAAAAATTTGTTTCTTCATTGTAAAGAAAGAGGCCTAGCAAGAACGTGTTAGTTGGACCAAGAAACGATATATCAAAACTTACCAACATCCGGATCGAGCAGTTCCTTGACCAAGAGAAGGAACCACTCTTTCCGCAAACCGCCGGCATCAATTCCATCTTCTCCCTCGAAATGGACTTTTAATGCTTTCTTGGCTTCTTCTTCAGAGGAACTAATTGCTTCAGATATTCGCTGTAGGCTGTCTTCGATGATGCATTTCCGACGAATGTTGAGATGAAAGTACTTGTCCGCACTGGTATTCCGAAGAATAGAATCGAAAAACTCCTGCCTAGCCTTGCTAGCCATCTTCTTCCGGGCATCGAATTCGAGGATCTGGATCTTGGTTCCAAGAGTAAGAAGAAAGGGATATTGGCTCAAATGAAGGCCTTCCTCTTTCTTTTCCCATTCATCAAAGTCCCTTCGGGGGTTGAATCTCTCCTCAGAGTCAAGTTGAGAGTTGTAAAAGTGCTCGGTTGATATGAGTTGTTTGACACTGGGTCGTCGTTTTGTTGATGATGGACCGTTACTGTATGGCTTGCTTGATATGGACTTCGCGTGAAAATGGTCATTTGCTCGGACAAAAAGCTGGAGAACTTTGCAAGCGGCTCGCAGTTGCCAATCTTGAGACCGAGAGGCTTTTGTAGGAACAAATTCTGTTTGTAGCATATCGTTAAACATTTGAGACGTCGGAATGCCGTTGTAGTTCGCAGACTTTTTGTCTTTTCGATGTTCTCTTGTGCTGTTGTATCGTAGGGAGACCCTCTCATTAATGAACTCGAGAATCATGTCTGCATGTTTCCGGAACAGGTCTTCAGGATAGCGAGATAGCCATCCGGTTATGTAAGTGTGACATTCCAAAGGTAAATTCGCGATTGACCCAAGGATTAGTGACAGCACCCTTGATCGTTTAGAAGGGTTCCAGAGTGCCTTGGACCCGTTTCGAGGAGGAGAATTTTGTTGTCTTGACTTCCCAGGAGAATTGTTTGAGTTGGGCAGAGTGGCGCTTCGAGTTCTTCGTGATCCTCTTACTGGGTAATCATTTGGACTGAGCAGAAGAGGGTTGGCCATCAAAATGAGTAAGTAGCGGATGTCTTCCGTTTCTTCTGGTGGTTCTTGAGGGGACACTAGTACTTGCTCGGCTAAATCGAGAACGGTACTTCGAATGTGAAATCGTAAATCTTCTATGATTTGTGCATGACGGCTTGCTTGGTCCTTTTCGAATTTTCCAGCATCGGATTTAGTATTTTTTAGTTCTGTCGGCTCGTTTGATTTTGAACCACTGTTTAATATCACATCATACCACTTCTGAAGTAACCTCCAATCGATATGGGGCGATCCCTGACTGACATATTTTGGGCCATTTGTGTCCCCAGTTGACTGTTTCTTTGATGGGGACGAACGTTCCGTGACCTGGATTTTGTTAGTACATAGCCATCGCGGTAGGTTGTGAGGACAGGATTTGAAAGACAACATTTTTCAATCGAGCTATCAAATGTCCTGGCAGCCACAGCTGATTTGAAATTTCGAAGGTCGTCATGGAAATGTGCTCTGATATGGGGGGAACTCTTACCAATGATGTTGCAACGTCATAGACATCTCCGATCATTAGATCTTTATGGTCCATTTGCGATATTTTGGGAGGAGGAGTAGTACTTCGGATTTCCTGAGAGACCTTGGAAACATGCCGCGCGGGATGCTCATTGGCTGATCTGCCATTGTGATGTCGCCGTATTGTACTGAACGAGCCATTTAGGTTGTTCCGGCGGAAGTTCTCCATCAAATAATCAAACAAGGGGCGAAATGATTCACGTAATGGATCAGGGCGAGCCCGTCTGGATTGGATATGATCATTAGCCTTGGGGCTTGGTGTACTCGTATTCATACTCCAAGCTGGTGGTAATGGGGGAAGGTTAGTCGTAAGCCTTGCAGGACTAGGCAAAGGGCTCGAATCTCCTCTCCTGGGTGGATTCAGACCATTCAAAGCGAGTGGCCCGGGTGAATTTCTACGATTGCTTCGTTTTGCCTGTCCATTTGGTGGTGTTCCCTGAAAAATGACAGAGGGTCTGGAGGTATCCGGGGCGCTTCCACGACGCTGGTTAAGCTGCAGAGGTCCTTTTGGAGGTGGAATAAGCATGGATTGACGAGCTATTATATCAAGATTTGCGCGTCCTGGCGCGAGTCTGTTTGTGTTTGGTCCAACTGCTATGCTCTCAGATTTGCGCTCATCCATTCGTTTTAGACCGTCAGTGATTGAATGATCCAAGACATCTTGTGCGCGACTAATAGACAATGGTCGTAGATTCCTTTCATGGTCGGATCGCTGAGTTGGTGTTTTGAGATTGTTTATAGTCGAACATTGGTCGCATCGCCATGTTGAAGTTGAACCGGTCTGAAATGCCTTTGAACAAGTTCGACATTTGCCTTTTATAAGCGGTCTACTGGGTTCTGGTACTATTTCCGTTTCTGTCGGGCTATGAGAGTACTCGACAACTGGAAAGCCATAGTCGTCCGTCTCACTAAAGACATTATCTCCGAACGCCGTGGTCCTTCTCTTCGCGGTGGTAAAGTAGGAATCAGATGTGGTGCGATCTATAACTGGAGGAGTTGGAAGGTGAGACGCCGGTTGGCTATTCTCATGCCTTCGCTTGTCGCTAGACGATCTCCCACGCGTTTTCTTGGTTGCGCCATCTTGGGCGGTATTGGCCTTGGATCCACCAGACGAAAGGAGCTTCCCCAAAGCTAGAGACGGCATCTGGTCACACGCGTATCACCATATTATGAGCTGTCGTATAGCGGGGGTTAAGACGGGTATGCTTGGCGACGGATGTAAGGGTAGTATGAATTGTATGGCTGCGTGGTATGAATGCACTGTAGGTTGCCGTGAAGCTGATGGATGTGGCATAGGCTGGCAGCGTCAAAGGGATGGCAGAGTGACAGGCTGGATGAAGAGGGTGAGAGATGACGTGGTGAATGCCAATGTCTAAAAGTCGCGGAGAAGCAGCCGTCTTAGGTCTAAGAGCACTTGAAACGAGCGGTAGCGAACTGTGAGATTGGCAGGAGAGCGACGACAGAAGGGGGAACTGGAGAAGATTGAGGTTCAGGAGAGAACAAAGCACCATCAATCAGAGGCTGAAGCAGCAGCGAGGGACTAGAGAAGTATGGAGTACTAGAGTAGCAGAAAGGTAATGGACAGAAAAGAATAGAAAAGAGAAAATTACAAAATAGACGGGATCGAGATCAGGCTCAGGCTGCGGAGACTGAGAGGAGAGGGAGAGGGGGAAATAAAGGAATGGGCTTGATGCCCTCGTAACCAACCGCTGCTGATTATTTGAGAAGTGACAGCTCGCGAGACGTCAAAGGCTTGTTTCCAAGCACCATCTCCAACGCCTCTTTTTTCCCCGTTGGCATATCGCCCTGCCTCTTTACCGTAACAGGTCAAAGTTAGGTAAAACAATCATACAGTCTAATTTCGTTATGCTTTTGACTACTTTGCTAGCCTAATGGTCTTTCAATTGGCCCAAGGCGCGATCTGATCGCGATACCTACGCGAGTTCCAAGGCGAAATCTAACTGCATAAAGTTATGATATATCCCTAGTACTACCAATAGAGTACTCCAAAATCTCCCCTGACCTGATTCCATTTCCATCTTGTCCCTAAACATCTGATATGATCTACGCTTAGGCTAATAGCAAGGCCTGCAGCCCTATCTTCAGGGCAGCTCCCATTATGCCGGTAGTGGTACAAGTATATCTTGCTTGTGAATTTCTTAATCCATATGCTCACCTTTAGGCTCTGATTTGTACTTTTTACTAAACCGTGGCTGTTCGTATTAGATTTTGATCATGACACTAAACATTACACAGATACCATCCCTGGCTGTTCACCTGTACGACCAATGTTCTGTCCCAAATGCTTGTGAGAGGAAGCAACTTCTCCTTTTATTAATAGAATAAGCATAACCGATGCCTGTTCACCTTTCCCAATTCCGCGGTCCATGGATACAAAGGCCTCGAACCAGCCCAGGGTCTTGGTGATCCAAGTCTGGGGTTAGCCAGCGATAAAATCAGCCTCTTTTCCAGCCAAAATATGTTCCCCAGACATGGTGGCGGTTGGGCGTCCTTTAATCCTTTATTCTCTTTATAGCAATCGCTCCGATAACACACTTAATTGTACAAACTCTACTAACTTAAAGGTATATTCTAGTAACTAGCGCGCTATGGTGTGCGTCATGACCTTTTGCTCAACCATCATGGCCCGTTATCAGCAACTCCAGACTTGGCCCAATTCCAGTACGCGATGTCTCCTAAATCCAAGTAACACTTGATCATGATCTGTTACTGAGTACGTTGTTCTACTTCACATATTCGGACACAAAATGATAGAATAACGCTTTCTGACGATACCTTGGTATTGGTCTGATTTCCATTGTAGAAATTAGCAAAATTATTTGCATTATGAAAGCCTGCTCCATAATATGTGAGCAATTTTGCTTCGGAGGATCGTAGGAACGGTCTGTTGCAAAAAACAAAAATCTGTTGTCGGTCGATGGTTGTGTGTGATATACACTCATTTTGCACCATTTTCTAACAATTCATGTTTGGATTTCATCATTTAGATCTTGTGCAAAGATCTAGCAGAGCTTGTCCCGATCGGGAACAATCTCCGGTATAGTCCAGAGGTTAGGATACCTGTCTTTCATTAGTGCGCCAGTCGCCTACCGTTAGAACACAGTAGACCCGGGTTCGATTCCCGGTACCGGAAAACGGTAATTTACTACTTGTAGATTTTTTTTTGCTTCTGCAGGCTTCAAGTTCAAGTCTCCGCATCGTCAAAAATGTATCTCCCAGCTCAGTTGCTAAAAAGTCATAATTATTGATTGGGTTTTCACTAATATGAACCTGATTCTTTTTTGTCCATCATTTTACCATAGACTGGGCTAGAAGGAGGAGCAGAAGTATGATAGATAATATCGTCCTTGTATTTTGATGCTTCGTACTTCCTTTTACTTCCAAGAGATCTTGGGGTACCAATTGTTTTGTCCCGTGAGAGCCAATGTACTGGATCAAATGAACGGCTCAATTCTGATGAGAGTCTCGGACATATCACTCGAAAGGAGGCATATATTGGCATTTTATCCCATCAAAGTCATGGCAGCAGGCAAAGAAAAAAAAGTCAGCCTTATCCTCTCCACATCAAGCAAGCCAATCAGATGAGTGGAGCTACGCCACATCATCATTGTTTGCATTATCATTCTATTGTCGATATCAGTACCACGGTTTTGCCATGAACAACTTTTCAAGTCGTGATATATTCTAAATGTGCACTCCTCCGCTTCTCAGTAATGAAACTATTCCTGACATACTGATGCTGTTTTTCCTAACGCCATGCCACTCGAAAATCAGTCTCGGTCACAATCTGCCATTGAATTTGCCCAGCAGGCGGAAGCACTAGGACAGTATAAGCTGGATGAAGAAAATGACCAGACCGTTTCGACGCAAGCAGTGGAAGCCAAATTCATAACAGCTCAAGATCCGGTTATCATCACTGCAGATGGTGGCAGACTACCCTCCGTTCCTCTCGCGGAGGCATTGAAACTCAACAGGTTACGCGACAAGCTAGAAGGACGAGACCCTCAAACCCAAGGAGGGATCAATTATCCGACACGAAAGGCTAAAGATGGCACAATCCATGGAGTTGTGCCTCCGAGTAATCCAAAACTACGACAGTCCACTGATGCAGATGCTCCACTCAGAAGAGCAGTGGCATCGGCCAAAACAAATCCACTCTTTCCGCCTTTACCAATGTATGGTCCCCCGAGGCTGATGCATCATGTGCAGTATAGGCTATTTCGACTCTCTTCCGCAATTCTCTCTTTTCTCTTTCTGCTGGTCATCATTCTCGGAGCAATCTTTACAAGTGCTCCGATTGCATGTCGCCGTGTCTGGCGAGAATTGACAAGGAAAGATCCGTACAAGGATCGAATTTTTTACGACAGAGAGCAGGAACAAGCGGCTGTTCGGAGTGAGAAAGAGAAAGCCTGGATCAGGAGGAGGGAAGCAACCCAGAGCACTTCACCGAAGAGTAGTGAGACGTTGGAAAAGGGGTATTCCTCGCGCTCCTCAACTCCCAGTAGCGAAGAATTTATACCTACAGAAGGAGGGCCAGATCGTTTAGTATGCGACATCCGCTATTATGCCCGACGAGTTGGTCTTGATTGCGAAATCTACCAGGTTGAAACCGAAGACGGCTTTGTATTAGAATTATTCCACTTATACAACCCACTGACAACAAAACCACGACCAAGTTCAGAGCGAGAAGCACTATCACCAGATGTTTTTACAGATAAGACCGCGGCGAACATCCAGGATCTGAAGGATAGGCAATATCCAGTCCTCTTAATCCACGGTCTTCTCCAATCAGCCGGCGCCTATTGTTGCTCTGACGAGACCTCCCTAGCCTTCTATCTCGCCAAATCCGGCCTCGACGTCTGGCTCGGCAACAACCGCTGCGGCTTCCACCCAAAGCATACCCTCCTCTCACCCAACGATCCACGGATGTGGGCATGGAACATCAGACAAATGGGCGTCCTCGACCTGCCCGCTCTAATCTCTCGCGTCCTGCACGAAACACGCTTCCCACGCCTCGCTCTCGTCGCACATTCCCAAGGAACCACACAAACTCTCGTCGCACTCGCCAAAGAGCAACGACCAGATCTAGGACCCCGCATCAGTCTGGTATGCCTGCTTGCGCCAGCGGCATATGCTGGTCCGCTGATTGGCAAGATGTACTTCAAATTCATGCGGATCATTTCGCCAGGCATGTTCCGCGCACTGTTTGGCATACATGCTTTCATTCCGTTCATGATGAGCATGCACTCCATACTGCCAGGCCAGATATACGGCTTCATGGGATATCGCGTTTTCAGCTTCCTGTTCAACTGGACGGATGCGCGCTGGGATCGGGGATTACGAGATCGATTCTTCCAGTTCTCGCCAGTATACGTTAGTGCAGAAAGTATGCGCTGGTGGCTCGGCCGAGAGTGCTTTGCGACGCAAAAGTGCATTTTAGCGACACGCGAGGAGGGCCGGATTGAAGATGCTGAAGACGAACAGCTGGGGCGTGGAGAATGTGCTCTAGATGATTCTCCAGAGGCGGTGGAGGAACGCAGAAATTATGCCTGGTATGATAATCGAGTGCCGCCTATGGCCATTTGGGTCGGTGGATCGGATCATTTGGTGGATGGGAGGCGTCTACTGCGGAGATTCGAGCGCGGGCGGGAGCCTTATGTGAATGTTGTTCACAGTAAGATTATACCGGAGTATGAGCACTTGGATGTGCTGTGGGCGATGGATGCTATCGATCAGGTTGGTAAGGAGGTTTTGGAAAATATCTGGAAAACCATACCGGCAGATGTGAAGGAGGTTTGCAGGATACCCAAAGGCTGCGAGCGACACAAATCTGCTGCAGGAGGTGCGGACGAGCGTGATGATTTATGAGAGTTATGGTGCACAAGATGTGGCTAATGAGCACATGATGAATGAAAAATGATAGAGTTTTAGACGATAGACAGCGCATGATAGATCGAAAACATTGGTACAACAGACCATGATTAATAACCTATTTCATGTGTCAACCGACCATACTAATCCTATGCTGTGTCGTGGAAGACAGTAAATACATAATTTCACTTTCCTCATCGTTATTTGTACATGTCATCATCGCCGTTCGTGGAATTACCAAAGGCTGGTGAATGTGTTTTGCCTTTCGAGTGTTTGCCCATAACTTTTCCGATCCCGAATGGTAGTTTTCTGTGTGTGCTGCTGCCATTTCCATGCTCACTTCCATGAGGACTATTGCTCCTATGAGGGCTCGCACTACCGTTCCTGTTCCCGTTTCCATTTCCATGACCATTGCCATGACCGTTTGTTCCGGTGGCTAGGTGGTCCGTCCGTATTGTGTATTCATCTTCATCCCCAAGCGGCTCTTCCCCCGAGTCTGGGTTTGCGAAATGAAAGGTGGCCTGGTCGGGCTGTTTCTTGCCTTGATGTGGATGATTGCTACCGCTGTTAGCGCGTCGACGGAAGGTCAGCTGCTTGGCGATGTTATTGATTGGCGACGAAGTCGGAATGACACTGCGGTTACTCTGTTGGCTATCCGGTCTGACCTTGAGTGACAGGTTGCCACTCGGTTGTTGGGCATGAGTCGCAGCAGCAGGTTGAGAATCGTTGCCTTCAAAAGCTTTGCGGACACGCTCGTAGTGACCGAATTCTTCTGCGCTGACGGAAGGCACAAGTTCCTTGTGAGCTGCGTAGAAGTCTTCTTCCGTCACAGTCACCGAAGTATCCTCCTCGGTTGCGAAATGATCGAAGAATTGAGCAATGGTAAGTGGGCTTTGGCCAGGTCGAAGGTTGGCATTACGTTGTGCAACTTTGCCATCAACTTGCTCAGCGGCGCGCGTTATGGCCTTGAGCATAGCATCAGAGCAAAGAGCATATAGATCGGCACCTGTGAATGTGAACGGTAAAGTAGCAGAAACTCTTTGTAGAGAACAGCTTGGATGGATGGAGAATCTAGACAAGTTAGTGTTTCATAACGTCAGGCGGAAATTGGGTACATACTTTCGAGTCAGAGCCTCCATAATCTTGAGCTGCTTGTCGTGAGTGTCACTGATACCCAGGTATAGCATCTTGTCGAATCGCCCAGGACGTAGCAATGCCTGATCAAGCAAATCTGGTCGGTTGGTAGCTCCAATCACAAACACTCCTCCACCGCCCTCTTCGCCATTACTCATTCCGTCCAATTCAGCGAGCAACTGACTGACAATTCGATCCATGACACCACCACTATCGCCTTGATTACCACGTTTGGGCGCAACAGAGTCCAGTTCATCAAAGAATACCACACAGGGTCGAGCATCTCTAGCACGCTGGAAGACTCTTCGAACATTGGCTTCTGATTCACCAATGTACATGTTGAGTAGTTCTGGCCCTTTGACGGAAAAGAAATTGAGTGAGAATTCTGTAGCAATAGCCTTTGCGAGCAGGGTCTTTCCAGTTCCGGGAGGTCCGTAGAAGAGAATACCACTTCGTTTCTTCATGCCCTTGGCGAAAAGTTCTGGACGAGCCAAAGGAAGCTGAATGGTCTCTATGACTGCTTCTTTGACGTGTGAAAGACCACCAACATCGTCCCATCCAACATTTGGAATCTTCGGAGCTCCAATGGCGTCTGCAAAGTTCTTTCGAGCGGCATCGACAGCACTTTCCAAGTCTCCTTTCGTTACGCAAAGACTAGATGAGCCACCTGCAATCTCCAAGTCACGAATAGACAATTGCATGTCAGGTGCGGACGAGTTCGCGCCTTTGATAATTTTCTCCAGGCGAGTCTGTTTGGCAGCCGATGCACGGCTCACAACATCAAGCAAGTCGCCAGCTACAAGTGCTGCAGTCTTCAGCGCGACGGATGATAATTCGGCATCAGGAGCAAGTTTGACGCCAAGGCTGTCCACAATGTCCTTAAGAATACCTTCTCTTTCACCCTCATCTGGGGCTCCAAGTTCCAATTCATTGTTGAAGAATGCTCGAATATTATCCGGTATTTTCTCAACGTCCGTAGTCGTTGCGATGACAACTCGAGATTCTGCCAAAATATCTTTGAACACTGCGAGCATGCGATCTCCAGAAAGGGCATCCATGTGCTTGAACAGTAAGACTGTGTTCTGAGATCCACAAGTCAGAGCACGCTGAGCTCGTTGCTTAACAAAC